CCCGCAGGGTGGGGGCCGCGGGCGCCGGCCGGAAGCCGGACCCTCGGGGGGGCTGCAGAGCCGGCGGGGGTTGCGGGGATGGGTCCTCCTACAGTGCCACCCCGTGTGCCCGACCGCTGAGCCTCTCTCGCCTCCCTGCCCCTCCCACTTGCCGAGCCCCCAGCCTCTCTCCCCTCTGTCTCTCCAGGATGGAGCCCCTTCATCCTCCTGCTGTCCTCCTCTGCCCCACCGCAGCCACCGGGATGGCTATCTGAGCCCCTTCCCCTCCGCTGCCCCCTCTCAGACTGCCAGGTCCCTACCCTCCCCACATCTCAGTCCTCACCCCTCCTCAAGTACCAGTCCTGGCCTGGCAGAGCCCGCACCCTAGGGAGCCCAGGTACCCCAGCCTGTGCCCCTCCCCAGCACATCCCTGCACCTAGCCCAGCCCCCATCTGCTCTCCTGTTCCTGTACACCCCTATCCCCAGCCAAGCCCCTTGCAGGCGCCCGGCCCCCAACGGTAGCACCTCTCTGAGCCCCAACCCCAGCTCCCACCTCTGCACAGTCCTGCCCCTAACAGAGGCCCTAGCCCCGGAGGCTACCAAGTCCGGCCTTCCTTGAGCCTTGATGTGGCCCCGTCCTTTCTGAGCCCACCCCTGTGGAAACTCCTGACCCCCTTTCCCCAGATCTGACCCTACACACCCCAGCCCAGAGCACCCAGCCCCACCTCCTGAATTTGCATCCCTCACCTAGTTCAGTCTTGAAGGCCCTTACCTCTCACTGGTTGGTCCCTTCTGCCCATGGGGCCAGATGTTCTTCTCCAAGCCCCTAATGACCCTTGTCTCCTTCCACTTGCCTGTCCATGCCTCTGCCAGCCCTGCTGGTCCCACGTGGGCCGTGTCCCCTGCAGATGCCCCTTCCTCTAGCCAGCGCCTGCCGGCCCAGCCCCAGCCCCCTCTGGGGCCTCCACTCACTCCACACCCTCTCGCTCTCTCTCACACGTGTCCCCAGATGACCTCTCCTTCCTGCAAAAGTCCCAGTGAGTCCCATCTGCAAGGGAGAAAGAAGCCCTAGCCCTCTCTGCCTCTCCCGGAACACGCCCCCCCCCCACCTTGCAAGTGCCCTCTTCACCAGCCCACCAGCCTCCACAGACCCCAGACCCTCCAAAGCCCCCCAGAAGCTGCGCCTATGTGTGGTGGCCTTAGATTTCCTTCCCCAGCTCCCCCCCTCCCCAAGCCCCTGTCCCCTCAGAAGCCCTGGCTGCCGCCTGACCAGCTCAACCTGCCTCCCCATTTCCACAAGCCTCTCCTCCAAGCCTGGGTCTTCTCAGGAGCAATCCTTGCCCGCCTATGCCCAGTCCTCTGCCCACCCCTGCTCTCCCCAAACCTCTCTGAGTCTGAGGCCTTTCCGGAACCCATCTCCTCGGACAGGCCCCAGCCCCTCCCCGAGCCCTCCCCTTCCAGCCCCACTCCCCGCCCCCTGGCCCAGCCTCATCTGTGGCTGTCAGGAACCCCAGAAACCTCCAGGAGGTTGATAAAAGCCCCTGTGAGTGGGAGGGGTCCCGGGCACCAGGGCTACCCCCATCCTGGCCATGTCCTTGGCAGAGGCAGGCCCAGTCCAAGAGCCCACAGGCATGAGGGAGGATGGGGACTGGGGGGGGATCAGGATTCAGTTCTCCCCCATGCCACACCCACTGCCACACGTAGGGGCACCTGGACCCGCAGGCCTCAGGCCGAGCCTGACCTACGATGCAGCCTGCCCGCGGTCGGCTCCACACGCCACCAGCTCACCTGGGGCCGGGCACCGTCCCACCTGCCACAGGCTCGGCCCTGGGCTGCTGTGGGCAGGCAGGCTGCCGGCCGTGGCCAATGGGGCTGGTCGGCACAGGAGTCCAGCTGGTCCTCAGACAGCAGGAGAGGGGCGCCTGGCCCCCAGGGGCCTGCTCCAGGTCCCAGGGTGGAGTCAGGGCCCCCTGCTCCAGATGGCCTTGAGGCTGCCTCTCCCTGGGCCCTGGAACCCAGAGCGGCGGTGGGGGGAGCACGTTAGCCCCCACTGGCCTCCTCCCAGTAGGGGAGGGAAGGCGCTCGACTCCATTCGGGCGTCTTCCAGGCAAGGGCAAGAGGCAGGAAATGCCCACCGGGGCCTGCTGGGCTGGTGCAGAGCATGGCAAGCCAGCTGGGATGAGTGCCAGGCGCTGAGCTGAGCTCCCCGTGGGGACCCGCCAGCGCCCTGGCGAGGAATGCCGTTATTACCCACCTTCTAGTCAGACTAGAGGCTTAGGGTTGGGTCATAGAGGCTGGATCTGAGCCGGGAGGCAGATGCTAGGGGCCAGAGGATCCCAGCCAGCAGCCCAGGGCAGTCGCACGGGTCCTGGGCTCTGGGCAGGAGCTTCGGCGCCCTGACGGCGGGTTGGGGGCTGGAAGCTCAGCCTGTGCTCATCTACACAGCACCTGGGGAGGGACCAGGGGCATCCGCTGTGCTTGTCCCCACCTCCCAGAGAGCAGACGGAGGTGGCCTCCAAGCTGAGGGTCACAACTGCAGGGCCAGCAGAGTCGGGGAGGCGCCGCCAGGCCCTGGCGGGTGGAGGCGGGTCCCAGGGCAGCCACCAGGGGTTTGGGGGGGCTGTTGAAGGAGGCTGCCTCCTTCCTGGCCAGCTCTGACTCTCAGGACACAGAGGCTTGGATGACACTGTCTCCCCAACTGCCCTGCCAGGCCCTGCGGCTCTGCCGTCTCCCTGCTCGGATTTCAAGTGCAGAGAGCACGGCACACGTGTTTATGGGCCTCCTCGCAATTCTGGCTGAATGCTTGTTAAAGATGCCAGCTAGGACTTGGCCCTGGGGTGCAGTCCCCTGGCCCCCTAGGGCCAGGCCAGTGACAGCCAAGGCACTGAAGGCCGAGAAGGCACCAGGACGGTGACATGGGTCATATTTGCCATTTCCCTTACACCTGCAGGGGGTGGGCTCCAGGCAAGAGTCCAGAGCCGCTGATCCAAGGGAATTCTGTCCCAGTGGCTCTCAAACTCCTGTTCATCCCCTAAAACCTCCTGGCTGTGTAGCTGCCTCTGGGCAGATGAGCCCAAGCACCCCTCAGCAAACTCCCAAGAGGCCAGATCCCCAGGGAGGTCACTGCAGCCTGAGGGAGTTCCTAACTGGGATCCCTGAACCCGAGACTTCAGGCCCCCAGCCTGGCCTGCTCCATCATCGGCTTGCTTTGCAGACGGCGTTCAGGTGCTGGCCAGGAGGCCCAGGAGGCAGGCTGCCCCCTCACCGTCAGCCTCGCACAGGCTCCTATCCTAGGCTCTCATGGGGTGTCAGGGGGGCTGCGGAAGACCGGGTCCTTGCTGCTGGTGGAACATCGTAGGGAAGCATGGCAGGCACTCACCTGGACCACTCCCTGAAAACCGTGCTCAGTGCAGGCCCTGGCAACCTCGCCCAGCCCCACCCTGCAGCCTCCCACCAAGGCCACATCCTGCTGGTGGTCACTGCCCCAAGCCTCTGGGCGAGCCAGCCCTCCGCCGGTGAGGCCGGGCAGCAAGCTAAAGCCCCCAGGGTCCCCTGTGCAGGGCAGGGGGGCTGGGGTCTGGGAGCCAGGGCACCTCCAAAGCTTTTCCCCCTGCCTGGCTGTGAGTCAGGCCTTGGGAACAACAGCCTCTCACCAGCCACACCGGCTCCTTCCCATATCCAGATTTAGAACCGCCCTTCCCACCAAACACAAAACACGTCAACACAGAAAAAAGAGGCCCAAACAACTGTATTTTCATGTCAACTTTGGCTCCCGGTCGCTCAAGAGAGGAGCAGCTGCAGAGAAGATGGCACCAGGCCCCCTCCTCCCCTTCTTCCCTGACCCTGGACCAGCGAATGCCCTCCTGGATGGGGTCGAGCCCCAGGATGACCCCAAAGGTGTCACAAGGCTGGCTTTTGTCTCTGAGCCCCGAACCTTCCAAGTCCTTCCTGCTTGTCCTCAGGCCTGAGCTGGCCCCTTCCTCGATGGGCCCACACAGGAAGATAGGGGGGCCGGCAGCACCCAGCTCTGGACCCCAGGCCAGGCGGCAGCGGAGCCCAGAGAACAGCCTGGCTCGGGGTGGGGGCTCAGTCCAGAGGTCCTGGCTGGGCAGCCAGGCCCCTGAGACACAGGCTGGGGGTGGGTGGGGGAGGGTGGTCCTGGGATGCGCAACGGATGGGCTGCCAGGCCAGGCTGGGCTTCCAAGGTACTGAAGTGGCTCCACACTCTGGATCAGCCTACTGGCTGTCCCGCACCCTGCCCCTCCATTAGACAGACACACAAGACAGGCAG